GACAGGCATATCGGAGAATGAAGACGGGAGAGACCCTCCCAGCGAACGTGAGTGCCCCCTCGAAACGACACTACTTGCTCGAGTTGTTCATGCAGGTCGACTCACAGAAATAATTGGAATCCAGTTTCCTGTCGACGTCCCCCATACCGGAGATGTCAGATCCAGAGCCGTCCAACAACTACAACAGCATGTAGTTGTTACGGTCCAGCCAACAGATGCCGTGGAAACAGTCGCCTCAGATGAGGCAGAGCCTATGTCTGTCGATCAGCATGTCGGCCGGGAGGAAGGAGAGGCCCTCGAAGGGGGAAAATGGGTACTTCCCGTTGATGGTACAGACAGTGAACGCGAGAACTTCAACTCAGGCGATGTGCATGCGACACAGACTCAAGGTAAGCGGCGAGCAGTGATGTTTCAAGCTGTATCATCACTCACGAGTTCTGAGCATCCGATGCATCGTCGACACCACTATCAACGACCCCTGTGCATACACCAGAGTCAGCGCCGCCGCAGAGTGTGTCGTGGCACTGCAGGAGCTGCCTAAAGAACCCGTGCGACGAGCCTACCGCGACGATGTGCGGGCATATATTCTGCTATAGGTGCGTCTGTCGTACACGCCATTGAAAATGGTGCATACAATGTTGATGGTGCGACGAAATCTGTATAGGTGCATCGTCCGTGAGATATCGGACAAGATGCAGTGCCCTGTATGTAACAGACTCTTCTTGCTGAGGCTGCACGCGACAGCATGAGCAGAAATCGTTGACGTTCGGCCATAAGTAGAGGATGAATTGGTACATACGTTATTTGTCGCGGCGACACATTCAAATGCCAATCAACAATGTTTTCAATATTCCTGCGACTGGCAGTGGATGCGGGCGTACCGTCACAGACGTGATTCGAGTCGCTAGCGCCCATGTAGCAGAATGCTTCTACTACTTAGTAGGACCTCGGGCGTCTACACATGTTTCCTTGCTACTTGTACTTCGGTGCTCTCTACGTCTCCATTGGACCCGCTGCTCTGTGTGTCGACACCATCTGATGACTGAATGCTTCGCCCTGCGTCTCAGGACAATATTTATCTACAGGGAATGGTTCTCGTTGGCGAGATGCCCATATCGACTCGACGACGCTCGTTAACGTCACGCGCTGTCGGCTTTGGCTCAGGCTGCGAAGTCGAAGCGACGATGTCCCAGCCGCTCGCATGCCGTACGCGTGGGGATACTTAGGCCACATAGGACCGGACAAGCAAGCGACCTGTTTCCCAGCACTGCTGTCCATTACCTCAATCAGCGACCATGTCTGGGACGTTCACCTGTCTCGACTGTGGTGAAGGCTTCCGCGATGTCTCTGCCTTGTGGAGCCACAGCAAGGCAAGGCAACACGGCCTTTATCAAGGTCGGAAACCTTTCAGCTTCCCCCATGACAACAAGAGCTACGATCCGGGTGATCTCAGCTACACACTAGCTCAAAAGCATGACTCGTACCAAGTCGACATGCCGTACGGTCGGACTACGGTGTTTCTTCCTGCCTCAAGGACTGCCGTGGCGTCAGTGTCGGCATTAAATGATGCAGCTGCTGCAGGCGCAGCGAGGGCAACGTTTGACACAGCTCCCGCGACCACATACCCGCCTGGCGACCCAGCCATGGAGTGCAGATGTGAAATCTGTGATCTGTCCTTCCGTTCGGATAATGAGCTCAACACTCATTACAAGTGGTCTCCCGTACACCCATCCTGCGGGAAGTGTGCGAAATGTTTTCGAGATAAGAGTCAACTTTCCCGGGTGAGTCGCAACATGAGCTTCCCTAGTCGTGTTGACTCAGTGACCTCGTTCGTCGGCGCTAGCATCTGCAAACTGCGCATGCGTGTGACATCTGCGTCTGCGGAGTAATCTTCGAAATCAACCATGCGTCCGTGCACTACAAGGCATCTTCGTGTCATCCCAAGTGCATCAATTGTGGGGCAGCGTTCAAGGACGCTCCCGCGTTGAATGTGGTGAGCTTGATATTTACCGTTCCGGTCGTCTACCCTGATCGTCTCGTAGCACTACAGATCCTCCCATTATGATCATCATTGTCTTCGCTGCGACCTCTGGTACCCTACGAAGCCAGATCTACAGCGGCATTTCTTCGAGTGCATTGCACATCCTCGCTGCTTTCAGTGCAAGGAAGGTTTCGTCGGACATGTAGAGTACTTTCAGGTCTGTGGCGACCTCAGAGACTCAAATTCCCCAATCACGGACTGATACATGCTGATTTAGCATGTGGCTGCGGTACATAACTCGAAGGTAACGACGACCATAGCACCCACGAAGGTAGATCCATTACCCGAAGCAAACCTGCGAGCATATGCATTGATGAGACTGTCTTTACAGGTCGTTGCGATTTCCAAACCTCCTCAGAAGAACAAACAGGAGAAGCCCCCACCGTATCGCTGCGACCACTGTAATCTAGGCTTCAAGAAGTCGAAGCAGCTCAAGAAACATAACCGCCAGACCCCTCTGCACCCGTGCTGTACCCAATGCAATAAAGCTTACGCAATGTACGGGCCTTATGAGCGTGTAAGTCAGTGTCGCCACTATCGCGATCCGTTCGCTCACATTGCATTCCGTCACACAGCATATGATTAACAAACATCCACGGGCCGAGATACTGCCCAAGCTTCCTCCACGACCGTCACCGCAGGTGCGCGACAATCGTATATGTCCAACTGTTTGTCGTTGGTACTGATCAAGTTCTTCGTTCGGAACTCTAGGCCGTACAGGCTGGTCCATCGACCAACGTCCAACAATCAGAGCCGCTAGGCGAGTCTCCGAAACTCCCGGAGAGGGATGATTATTCTAACATTGGCTGCTAGCCCCTGGTGCCGGCTCACAGACAGCGGGAACGGGCGCGTCTGCATCGAACTGCGAGATAGCTACGGCGGTGCCCGAAGTAGTCGACGGAGGTGACCCTCCGGTGGAGTGTGAGTGTCGCTCAGCACTATTTGTTTGTATCCCTTACGTGGGTCATCTTCTCAGCATCGGTGGAACCTCAGGTGCTAGTCGATGCTCCGATTAGAGACGCCGAGGCCACCGCGAGTGCGGTCTATCATCTTCCGGCAGCGGACAATGCGCGGCCGTCTGGCGAGCCCGGTCAGGATGCTGGCACGTTGACTCAAACAATGTTCGAACAAGAGCATCCCGTCAAGACGCCTGAGGTTAATGTCAGTGCTGTCTTGTAGCGTTGGGCGAATTGCCTACTGACGGGCAGTATATATACAGCTTGGGAGCGATACGGGATCAGTCATATCATTCGACTACCTCTCCTCCACCAGTTCGGAATCGGACGCCTTATTTGCACAAGCTCGGGCTTTACCACACCCTTCGAACACAGCCGTGCAATGCGAAAATGCTGACGAGCGCGAAGATGAGGCTTCCTCCGACTTGTACGATTACATCCAGTGAGCTTTTACGCGAACTACTACCTATCCTCGCGATAACTGACCCCTCTTGCAGTGCCCACGAGCGATCAACTGATGCCGACGCGCGGACGATTTACGAGCGACCTGACAGCGTAATCAGCTACGTTACAGAGACAGACGTAGATCTGAGTGTCCTGTCCGCCAGTTCCTCAGGGCAACCATCGGACTCCATTGCCACGCAGGCCTCTTCTTCGTCGAACAATGCAGCAAGGGACATGAACGCGGAACAGCTTGACTATCCCAAGGAGACGCTGTCCGAGTCCTACGTCAGCGCACCGCTCTCTGATGCGTGCACCCGTGGCCTATCTACTCGTCTTGAAAGCATTGACATCAGCATGGAATCTGCCTCTCGTCCCGCAGCATCTCCATCGCTGATCGCATCTGACACGTCGGCGGATGCGCCGCCTGTCAGCACAGGACGAACCCGAGGCTCGACTTCATCGCGTTCTACAGTGTCGGAGGAAAGTAAGAGCCATCGTCCGCGTGAGCTGCTTCGTGCTACATACTAACTATTCCTGCGCCGTTCCATTTCAGTCTCCAGCGTCACGGAGTCCATAGCAACGAGCACAAGGAGATCAATACCTACTCCTTCGGACCCAGCCGCGAGCGCTCTCCCTAAAGGAAGGTCCACAGCCCCTGGCCCGTCCTGGCACTGTCGGAGTTGCGCAAAGGACCCGTGCGAGGATCCGACGGCAACACAGTGTGGGCACATCTTCTGCTACAAGTTCGTCGCGCCCTTGATCTCAGTATTTTTGCTGATACTGATGTACGAATGTGTAGGTGCATCGTCAAGGAGATCGCCGAGAGTATGAAGTGTCCGGTTTGCGACAAGCTGTTCCTCTTGCGGCTTCAAGCGTCTTGATCGGACGATTGCTGTGTGCATGACGTGGATCATGTGTACTATCCTACTCACTACGTTCGCCCCTCTGACCCTGCGTCCGCAGCAGCTGCAAGAGATTTAACGTGTGCCTCTCTCCCGAAGATGGTCCTCGGGGATACCCCGTCTCCCTTGGACCATGCTTAGTAACCGTTGGATATATGTATATGTCCATCAGCCCTGCCGCTTACAGCTGTTTCCAAGTCGATGCCCCACCGCATGTCCAGACTCACACAGAAGCGAAGTCCCTGTGTCCCCCATCCAAACGAGCAGTGTTAAGGGCCAGCCAGATCGTGAGGTCGACCGGCAGAGGGTGCGGATCAACTGAAGTCAAGACCCGATGTCCTCCGCTTGTGCGCATCTTACGGGCAGAAGCCTATTGTTTTGGACATAGGTGTAATCCAAGAGGTATGTAATGCAGTGTTTCACCAGTCCTCTCTGCAACAGCGCGCGTACACCTGCCACGGGCTTGGAACAGAATTGAACTGCACTACGTACCACAATATTCTACGTATACCCCTTCACAAGCACAATAGCACAGCAACTACTAATCGTTGGTTTGAGCAGCTCTGGTATGGATAGTGCATGCGTTATACGAGAGGTAGAGTTGAGTTCTTGAATTCTCGGCTTCGTCGAGTTAGCTCACCTGCGGTCCATATTTCCAGGTCGCTCAAGACGTCTGGACGTTTTCGCGGTAGGTATTTCCTTACAGGTGGGACAAGCTCAATTGCGGGGCATCCTGCTAGTGCCTTCACCCGGCTTGCAATCGTGCCAGTGGGAGGGCGATCGACTGCAGTCAAGTTATCCAATGGCGATGTGTGGGTAATGGCCTCGACACCTCTGACGACTGAGACCAAAGCCAAAGCCAACGGAATTGGCCTGGTCAGATTCGTGGGTATTCAGGAATCGTCCAATACTCGGACTGATTCTCTGCCGAATGCAGGTGGATCGTTGGAGCTGACGCGGTGCACCACATGTTCCTCGGTTAGTGACTACTGAGGACATCCGGGCCGCGAGCTGATCTTGACGGAAACAGGAGAATTCAAATAGGAATACTCCGAAGCCAAGCTGGTCGCAGTTGACGAGGCGGTGAAACAGAAGGCTAAGCAAAACCTTGAGTTCCGCGGAGTCTGGGGCTCGGACCCTCGAGAAGCTCAATATGGCTTTGAAAGCGATGTAGGTTGTCGCCGCAGCGCTTTCTACAGACATTCCGACTGACGTGCTGGACCGTAGATCAAGCATTGGTGACAGAGTTATTCTCGCGATGATGCCTACATAATGACCATACACAGCTTTTTCTCTGGATTCGCTAACCGCGACACAGCCTTCCTCCATCCCGCCTCGAAGACGCTGATAGTGGCTTCAACTTGCCCGCCGGGGAACAGGTACATGAATCACGCGTTCGAGTGTATCACACTCACGGGACGCGCTCATAGTATTCGAAGACATCGTCATCGGGCAAGGTCCCCATCCTCGGGACTCTTGACCCCTACATGGACATCCACAAGCGTTATGCCTGGTATATGAGCGTGGACAAAAAGGACGTCTGACAATACATCCATGAAACACAAACACAACGTGAAGACTGTTGCGAGCTCGGACTTCGGCCGTATCATACCTCGCCATGACGTATGTGCCAACGCCAGTCTCGGCAAGTGGTTAAGCTGCTGATGCCACTTGACAAAAAAGATATTATCGAGAAGGATGGCCACAAAACCTAGTGCGGAGCGAGTGGTATTGCTCGTGCGTGTTGTCGGTGCCTAAATGGACCCCCTCTCCTCCTCGTCGATGCGGACAAGAAGGCTTGAGGAGTAGGGTATTTCATTTAGCCACAACATCGAGACGCATCCACGTTTTAAGTCTCGTCATCCAGGCTCCCTGGTGTTTCGTCTTTAGGGGCACTCCCTATGTCGTCACTTGTATGTTGTATGTTTGCCTCCCCGCTTTGTTCGGTTTCTAATGGCTATTGTTATTTCATCCGAAACGTTCGCTGACTCTTACAATCAGCATTTCAGCCTAGGGCATGATGTTACGGCTAATTGATTTGGATCTCAGCTGTGCGGCAGATCTGGCCTATAACTAGGGTGAACGCTCGCCGCCCAATTTCTTACGACTTACTCGAACGTATACAGCTGACGTAGGAGCAAGTACACTGCGCAAGCTGGGCTCATCCGAGTCCCTCCCACTCATCGAATTATGTCGTGGCCGTGGCTTCACATGTGGGCAGGTATGGCCGCATATGCTTCGGTTAACAGTCTTCGGTCTCTGACATATACGATACATTCAGCGGAGGGCACAGTCAGTGGCCCGCAAAGCAACTTCATCCTGCCGGTGAAAATCTGGGAAGAGATTGTTCTGCATCTCCAAGACAATTCTGCTGCTATCGTGGCGTGCAAGCAGACATGTCGATCACTTTACCCGTTGGCGCACTATCTCGGAATTTCCGCCATGTCCATCTCCTCTGCGCGCGAGTTCGTCTGCTTCACCAAGGCAGTGACCGAGCACCCCCGTATCGCGACTGTCGTCCGCACGCTCTCGCTCTACTTGTCCGACTCAGAAGAATCCTTCAGCCGAGGCCAGGGCCGGTCATGCATGTGCGAGCTATTCGCGGCTATGGTGCATATGAATCACTTGGAGGAGCTCTCCTTCATCGGCCCGTTCGTTCTCCCGGCGAGGTTTCCCGAACCGCTGCAACGCGAGCTGTGCAAAGGCCGTGTCAAGCTCCCGGTCAAGATATTGCGCCTTTCACTCACTAGCGGGCGCATCATTGTAGTCGACTCAACTCTGCGCTTGATCCTGCTGGCGTGTCCCCTGCTCGAGACGCTGCTATTTGACGAGTCGTATAATATGTTGACCATGGGATGCCGGCCGTCGTACAGCCGGCGGACGTCGTGGCAGCGATGTGTGCGGCGGTTGTTGCCGCCTGCGTATGCGACAGTCGACGTCAGCACAGCAAGGGCGCTTCACAACATCAGTACGCTGATACTTGACATGGCGGATCCTATAGACGGGCCCGGCAGTGAGTACGTGGGACACTGGTTGGCGACGGCGACAGACTCGCCCTTCACGCGGATCGCTGCCCTGCTTCCGACCGATGAACTCGGGGCCCTTATACATGGATGCACACAGGACTTGTTGCAAACTGCAGGTCCTCGGCTGGAGAGCCTCCGTGTCACCTTGGCCTACAATCACCATCGCAAAATTTGGAAAGAGCAATTGCCACACGAGCTACTCTCCTCCAACGTCAACCTCAAATATATCTTCATCCATGTCACCTTTCCGGGTCATGGTGGTTCTTTCGAGTTGTCCGTCGGCCTGCCTCAGGTCCTATCGGCGATCGGGCCTGTACATACCTCCGTCAAGTGTGTCTGCGTCTGCCTCACATTCACTGACCTGTCGCTGTTGTTGGTAAACGCTTTGCCTGAGTATCCGTCATGGCAGGACAAACTCGACATCCAACTGGCCCGACTTCTCGAGGAGCACCCAGAGCTCGTCATCACGCTCGCCTTGCGCTTTTCCTGCGAAGAGGCCGTGACTGTTCAAAACCGGCCGCGGCAGTGGTCTGCGCAGGATCTTGTGCACTTACTCACGGCGGGCCTGCCAAGGACGGCCCCGGGGGTACCCATGAGCGTCTCGAAGTCATATGTGCGGAACAGCATGACGTTGTGGAACTGGAAAACCTCCGTCTAGTCGCAGAGCCTCCGTGGTATCTAGCACATTATCCCCTCCAGGCTGTGAATGGTCCATTAGTAATTCATAGTTGAAAGGTGAAGAGCTGACAAGACCACTGGCTTCGTAGAACGTACATAAATAGATCTAGCTATTATCAGCGAGATGCCCATGTCGACTCGACGACCCTCGTTAACGTCACGCGCTGTCGGTTTCGGCTGCGAAGTCGAAAAGTCGAAACGACGATGTCGCATCCACTTGCACGCCGTGACGGCGTGGGGTTTTAAAGGCTGGGCAAGCAAGCGCGACCTGCAGGCCAGATCGATGATCACCAGCACTCCTGTCCATTACTCTGACCAGCGACCATGTCTGGTACGTTCACTTGTCTAGAGTGTGGTAAAGGCTTCCGTAGTGCCTCTGCCTAATTGAAGAGCCACAGCAAGTTAAAGAAACACGGCCGCGTTCGGAAACCTTCCAGCTGCCCCGATGGCAACAACTTGAACGGCTGCGACTCGGCCAATCTCAGCCACACACTAGCCCATGGCTTACACATAGCCAACACACCGCACGGTCGGTGCTTCGTTTACGTTCCTGCGTCAATGGCTGCCGTCGGGTCGGCGACGGCCTCCTATGATGCACCAGCTGCAGGCACAGCGGGGGCAACGTTTGATACAGTTTCTGTGACCACACCCCTAGTATGTAACTCCGATCAGGGGGCTTTGGTATTGACAGGCAGTATATACAGCTTGAGAGCGATGCGGAGTCAGTCATATTACTCGACTCTGTCTCGTTCACCAGTTCGGAGCCGTGCAATGTGAAGATGCTGACGAGCGCGAAGAGGAGGCTTCCTCCGATGCGTACGATGTCATCCAGTGAGCTTTTATGCGAAATACTACCTGTCCTTCCGATAGTTGACCGCTCTTGCAGTGCTGACGAGCGATCGACCGACTCGGATGTCAACACGCGGGTGATCGACTGTCCTGCCCGCCAGCTCTTCACGCGACCATCGGACTCCACTGCCACTCAAGCCTCTTCTTCGTCGAACAATGCAACGCAGGTCATGGATACAAGGCAAGTCGACTACCCCAGGGACACGGTATCTCAGTCCTGTGTCAGCGCACCTCTCTCGGATGCGAGCACCCATGGCCATCTATTCGCTCTGAAAGCATTGATATCACCATGGATTTTGCCTCCCGCCCTGTAGCCTCACCATCGCTGATCGTTTCCGAGACGTCGCCGGATGCGCCGTCTGTCAGCACAGGACGAAATAGTGGCTTGATCCCGTCACGATCGACAATGTCGAGGGAAGGTCAGAACAATTCTCTTCATTAACTGCTTGACACTACGTACTGAATTACTTCCATGTCACCCTGTCTCAGTCTCTCACGCGACGGTATTCACTGCAGGGCCATCATGCCGTAGCCATGCTCCCTCAAATCTAGCCACGAGCACTCCTCCCCAACTCCAATCCGCACGCCGATCGTGGTGCTGTCGAAGCTGCGGAAAAGACCCATGCGAAGACCCGACGGCGACGCGATGCGGGCACATATTCTGCCACAAGTATGTCAGAAGCCCACTGTGGCTGGTATCGGCGCGCTCATTACGTCGTATGCTTGCCTGCATCGTGAAAGAGATCACAGAGAAGATGCAATGTCCTGTATGCCATGAGTTATTCCTTCTGAGGCTTCACATTCGATGGGTTCCTTGTTGATCGGCGATTGCTACGTGCATTGTACACTTTTTCTTGAACTGTGTCGATCTCTGTCTGCCTTGTATCTGAATACCCTTGAAGAGTGTCTCGTGAGCTACACCACCAGACAGTCACTAGGAAAAGTATCCGTAGAGCAGCCTGTTGCACAAACAAAACGAAAGCTACCTAGTGAACACCATCCGCGGTGACGTGGTTCTATATAGTTGCGCAGAGTGCATCAAGTTATGGCGGAGCGCATGTTGTAAGTACATCCTTTGGAATAGCCTAGGTCAACGGCGGGATTCGTCAAGACTCAAGGCTGTTGAGCAGTGTTTACAACCTAGGCGGAGATACGTCGTTGTCGTTTTCTCTGGTTATGTATTGCTCGGCGCCGAGACTGCCAGTGAGTGAAGGAGGCCCCCACATTGTACAACTTTGTCGAGCTCGATCGCGAACCGACTTTCCATGCTCCATGCCGACAGATCTTAAGGCTCCGCTCGTATCTCGCACCTAAGGCTGTCTAAAACTCGGACGCAGGGTCAGAGGGACGAACACAGTGAGTAGGATAGTACACAAGATCCACGTCATATACACAGCATTCGTCCGATCAAGACGCCTGAAGTCGCAAGAGGAACAGCTTGTTGCAAACCGGACACTTCATACTCTTGGCGATCTCCTTTACGATGCACCTACACATTCGTACATAAGTGTCAGCAAAACCACTGGGAGATCAAGGGCGCGACGAACTTGTAGCAGAAGATGTGCCCACACTGTGTTGCCGTAGGGTCCTCGCAAGGGTCCTTCCCGCAGCCCCGACAGTGCCAGGACAAACCAGGGTCTGCGGACCTGCCTTGATGGAGAGCGCCCGCAGTTGACTTCGAAGGAGAAGGGGTTGGTCTCTTCGTGCTCGAGGCTGAGACGAAGCGGCACAGAAACAGTTAGTATGTTGCACGAAGCAGCTCGTGAGGACCATGGTTCTTACCGTCCTCCGACATTCTAGAACGCGATGAAGTCGAGCCTCGGGTTCGTCCTGTGCTGACAGGCGGCGCATCCGCCGACGTGTCAGACGCGATCAGCGATGGAGATGCTGCGGGACGAGAGGCAGATTCCATGCTGATGTCAATGCTTTCAAGACGAGTAGATAGGCCACGGGTGCACGCATCAGAGGGCGGTGCGCTGACACAGGACTGAGACACCGTGTCCTTGGGGTAGTCGACTTGTCTTGTGTCCATGACCTGCGTTGTATTGTTCGACGAAGAGACTTGAGTGACAGTGGAGTCCGATGGTCGCGCTGAGGAGCTGGCGGGCAGGACAGCCGAGTCTGCATCTGTCTCTGAGTAGTAGCTGATGACGCTATCAGGTCGCTCCTGAATCACACGCGCGTTGGCATCGGTCGATCGCTCGTCAGCACTACAAGAGCGGTCAACTATCGCGATGATAGGTAGTATCTCGCGTCAAAGCTCACTGGATGTCATCGCACGCGTCGGAGGAAGCCTCCTCTTCGCGCTCGTCAGCATCTTCACACTGCACGGCTGTGTTCGAAGGGTGCGGTCGAGCCTGTTGTGCAACCAAGACGCCCGCCTCCGAACTGGCCCGGGTGGACGAGGAGTCGAGTTGTATGACCGATCCCGTATCGGTCTCAAGCTGTGAATACTGACCATCAATATATGATATATGACGACAGGACTGCACTGACGTTAAACTTAGCCGGATGCCCTCGTTCGAGCATTGCCTGAGTCAGATTACCAGAATTGCGACCGGTCTCGCTAGACAGCCCCGCGTTGTCCGCTGCCTGAAGATCATGTATGACAGTCGCCGGGATCGCAGTGCGCATAGCCGGAGCATTAGCAGGGAGTTGAGATTCGGCCGTTGCTAAGGAAACGATCTGCATGAGTAACACGAACACGTAGCAGCTCAGAGAGACTTGAATGTCCTCACATCCCTGCAAACAGTCTCCTCCAAGGACAACCTTCGGCTGCGATGCAGCATGCGTTGTCTGAAGTCCAAATGCAGCGACACACTCGATCAGCAGTCGATGTCACATGGTCGAAACCTGTTATTACTCACCGGGGATGGGGAAAGCGGGAGGAGTGGGGGCCGCAACTTGGAGGACGGATGTATGGCCACCATATGCTGTAGGACAGAATGTCAATGAAAGCCTGCTACGGTAGTTCAGTCATCGTACGCTAACGTAGCCCTCATATACCAGGAAGCCCTTTTGACAGAGGATGCAACGCGGGTGCAAAGGCGTCTCAAGATTGTGCTCCTTGAGCGCTAGCTCGGTTGCGAAACCTAAGTTGCAGTGGTCGCAACGATGCAATTCCACTTTCTTCTGTTGGTCTTCTCTTGGAGAGCGCGAATCCACATCGTTCTGCAGGCAGCCAAAATTTCAGGCCTTGTTAGCACAGTAGATATCCGACAAATATGGTATTGACGCCCCTACCTTTATGGCTGGTTCTGCCGGCATCTCCGGAGAGTCATGCACTGCGACCAGATGCTACATAGATGAGCACGAATAAGTGTTCATGGACATTACAAGGCTTCAAGGTTGCCACATACCTCAAGGTAGTCCGCGTTCCGTGGAAATGCTTGCTTGCACTTCATGCACCGAGGAGGTGCCGCGGGAAAGCACTCGAAGAGATGTCGATGCAGATCTGGTTTTGTCGGATACCAGCGGTCGCATCGCAGACAACATTGGTCAGAGTGGGCGGATATTTGGTGCTACGCGGCAGTCAGCTGGGGTCACTGGAACGATATATAACCAGCTCACTTCAAGCAGTGCAGGAGCATCCTTGAATGCGGCTCCACAATCGGAGCACTCTGGGTGACATGAAGATGCCTTGTAGTGTGCGGCTGCCCTATCGAGTTCGACGATTACTCCGCAACTACAGAAGATGCAACCATGTACGGCTTGAAGATGCTGTCAACGAGGTGAGCTCGACAGTCCGAACGATGATTGCGCTGTGACTCACCCGGGAAAGTTCGCCCTTATCATGAAAGGAATCTTCGCACCTAGCACATGAGGGATGCACCGGAGACGTCTTGTAGTGTGTGCTGGCCTCGTCTTCCGAGCTGAATGTGAGATTGCATATCAAACATCTGTGCTGAATAGCTGGGCCACCGTGCGCGGGAGTGGTCGTAGGAGAGGTCACAGACGCTGATACGGTGGCACTCGCTGACGACGGTGAGCATTGGATGCCCTCTGCAACCTGGACGGGGTCGACGAGAAGTCCCATGGACATTTGAATGCGACTACTAGCGAGTGGCTGGTCCGGGACATCCTAGAGTTGAAACCCAGTGAACAGTCCCATGAGAATTGAGACAATACTGTTATTGGTATTGCTCGCATTCACCGGTATACTATGTGGCAGCGACCCCAAGGAGAGCTGCGGTTTTGACTGGGACGTTGAATGAACCTTCGCCGTGTGCTGACAAGGAGGCCATAACGCATAAGAGTCCAACTATCAGTATCACAAAGCATAGTGACATACCTTCTTGTAGTGCGTGGCACTAGGAAACCCCATGTTACAGATAGTGCAACACGGGTGCGAGGGTGTTACGAGGCTATGTTGACGCAGTGCCTTCAACTTGCTGAATCCTATATTACAGAGTTCGCAGCGCCATCCCGGCTGTTTCTTCTCCTTCTTCTCCTTCTTCTCCTTCTTCCCCTTCGGAGCTTGGATACGCGGGATATCCTGTGATGTCCTCGTGAGCAATTGTGTCCCACAAACACAGGAAGATATCAGATATACCTTCGGTGGTTGAAAATGCTCTTCAAGTACAGGCTGACCCGTTCTGGTCATGCCAGGGGAGGTCAAAGGACAATTTTCATAATGCTGCTGCCCCTGCGCCCGACTGAACAGTCGGTAGCATTGCTTGCAACCGTTGAACCAATGAACCAAGATCATGTGCTGGCCGAATCTACCGTCTCAGAATAGCCATTTAACGACAGGGATCACATAACTCACCTTGTCCTGCGCTAACTGGTCCTTAAATCCGACATTGCATAGCCCACATTTGGGGTGAACCATGAAACTTGAACGCAAGTAGTGCACGCGTAGATCCCTCTCATATGTGAACCACACCTCACACAACTCGCACTCCACGCCATTCCCCTTCATTTGCTGGATCCCCAAGCCCCCGATCTCGGACGGGCAGGAGGATGGTATGTCTTGATATGATGACGAGGGACGCAGCGGGCCGATCGCTGTCGGTGAGCGCAGCGGTCACCGTTACCGATGATTTAGGGAACACTGAGCCGTCGCGACAATTGCAGTCATGCACCCGATATGCGACGGGGACAATCGTGCTTACCTTCGCTTGATGTGGACACGGATGCGACAGAGCCAGCCTTCAGTTGAGCAGGAGCGTTGGAGATGACAGTAGACTGTAAAGTAGAAGTCGTGTAAGTAGTACTTGAGTACCGGGCAGCGTCTGATAAGGCGTCGCAAGCCTACATCCCACGTGTATCGAATTCGGGCATGCGGCTCGACACGACGACAGCCATGAGCGATACACAGGCTTCTGTACGTACAGATATGTAGGCTTCCCCAGCCTGTACTCGTGGGATAGGCGCCATGAACAGTGAACAATGCGAAGGTATACCACCAAGCACTGCAGACGCACCTTCATATTTGTCATTCTCCGCAGCTGTGATCAAGACCGTGAAGAGGATATTAGAAGTCATCATAGTTTAGACATTGATTCAACCTGAACAACAGAAACAAATGCAGCTCCATCGGATGACGTCGGGATACTTGCATGAACACTAACTTACAGTGTGAGTGACGTCTCGCTGTTCGGCAACTTACCTTGCTTCCATGTACGCGGATATACGCGACTGCTCTGCGGGACAACTCGAGGAAATAGAGTTCCCAATAAATGCGCAACTTCCTCACTTGTCCAAGTATTCGACCTCGTCGTATGTAGACATACTTGAACACCGTGTTACTTGCTGTTGTTTCGCGTGGCTCGCTTCGTATGTTGCTGCATCACAATCACCATAACACGCGCATTACGATCCTTTTGACACCTTCCGTACGCTCCCAGACCGTCTCGACCTTCGCCCTCGCCGAAGCCTCCTGGCGTTGCGACGACACGACGCCTGTGGCTAGGCTGTACTGCTCGACCGCCTTGACAAACTCCGCTACGCCGCCGCCGACACCGAAGTACACGCGCTTCGCCGCGACCAGACACAAATACGGCACGTCTGCGCCCTCATCCACATCCGGTCCGTCGCGTATCGCCATCCGTGCCGTCTCTTCCTCCAGGCCTCCCGTTCGCTCCCGGACACACGCCTTGCGCATCACGCGGACGAGCGCAGGCAGGCTCTCTGGGCGGTAGATCGTCTCGGAGGTGAGCACGACGTCGAAGGGGCCGCCTGCGCGCTCGATGTCGAAGGCCTCCCAGGAGCCGGAGAAGAAGCGGATGGTGATGTGGTGCTCCTTGAGGGATGCGAGAAATGCGGCGATGAGCTGCGGGGAGAAGGGGAGCGTGCCGGGCTGGGTGGGGTCCGCGCGCGGGAGAGGCTCCTCTTCTACCTCTGGGTCGGTGGTGGATGGTTGGAACGAGGTGCGGAAGGGGACGGATGCGGGGGACATGTCTGGAGAAAGAATGAGTGCCGTGTTCATTGCGTGAGATGAGATCGACCGTGGCACGCTGCATTAACTGGCAGGCGAGTCGCGTCGCACGCAAACATCTTACATTCGACGTGTTTCTCTTCTGGAAACATGTCATTGCACGATTCCTCGCAGATGAAGGCGCATATATCCCACTGTAGGCCCCATACGAGCACACTGGGGTCTCGGGTACGGAATGAACACTCACACCACGTAAGGATGACATTAGGCAGGGTCACCAATCGGAGTACGAGTTCATTGTAATCTTGCAGAACGACTGCAGTTTCTTGAGCGTCATCCGCTGGAGGCGGGGCCGAAAGGAGTTGATGCAGGACATAAAGCGAGGGGACAGCCGTTCCACAACCAAGCTGAACGAAAGATCTGGGTTAGCGACGAATGTCGAACGCAGATTGTCAAGGCACGGGGGAAGGGCACGACCATGACAATTGCCATCGAGTTTCAGTGCGCGAGAGACACACCTCTAGTATCTTCTTTTCTCTCAGTCTGACGCTAGGTTCGTCGCCGAGCATCTCGTGCAAGCATTCCGCCAAATCGATCGAGCATTCCCAGGTTTTCAGCCCACCCTCGTAGATCCCAGGTACGAAGTCGGAGGGTGCGTCGAGGAACCCCAAAGCGTGCTCGCTCGAGCTCTCCGCGCCTGCTTGTGCGGCATCATCGGACTCCGACGATATGAGTTGAAAGCGAGCATCGAAGAGGTCTCGCCGCGCGAGAGTGAGACTGTCACGCGCGGACGTGCGGATGCTCAACGGAGAAAAGCTGATGGATGGTGGATGGTTTGAGAGCTAGTGCTTGTGTGGTTCAGATACGCTGCATACGGACCGTCGGACTGTGTTTTACTCACGAGATCTTCAATGGAGTGTTCTGCGCTCCCCTTCACCGCTGCCTGCGACACAGAACCGGATTCTACTACGTCCTGCGAGGTTCCGAGAGTGTCGTGTTGCAGGTCTCCTTGTTCTTCCGCATCGTCGATGTCGAATTCGAATTTGAACATGGAGAGACTGGAACTAATGTCAGTATGATGTCGGTGGTACAGTCTTACACACTCACTGAGTGTTCGTCCAACCCGAGTACCAAGTCTGAGCGCTTATCCTTACTCGGCATCTGCCGCAGCCACACCGCTCAAGCGCTCACTGAGCGCTACTTGCAGCGGTACTTGCTCTCTGGTGCCTTGCTCTCGTTGCCATCATATTCGCCGCACTGTGCGGCGGCGTCGACATCCTTGGATTGTCATATACTTTTCATTGCGTGTCAGCACGACTTTATCTGCGGGGACACGACACTCCAAGTCGACTCGTCAGCGTCACACGTTGTGGTCAGTACCTGGTTTGGCTGCGAAGTCGAAGCGACGATGTCACGCCCAGCCGCTCGCACGACGCACGCCGTGGGGATAATATCAGGACCGAGCAAACAAGCGACCTCTTCAACAAAACTCCTGTCCATTGCTCTGATCAGCGGCCATGCCTGCGACGTTCACTTGTGTCGACTGTGGCAAAGACTTCCGCGATGCCTCTGCATTGGAGAGCCACAGCAAGTCAAGGAAATACGGCCTCGATCGTCAACCTTCCAGCTGTCCCCATGGCATTGGCAACAAGGGCTACGATTCGGCTGATCTCAGTCACATACTAGCCCAAAAGAACGACCGGTACAAAGTCGATATGCCGTATGATTGGAGTATCGTGTTTGTTCCTGCCTCGAAGGCTGCCGTCCCGTCGCCGACGGCCTCAAATGATGCTGCAGTTGCAGGCGCAGCGGGGGCAACGTTTGGCACAGCACCCGCGACCACGTCCCCGTCTAGCGACCCACCCATGGAGTGCAGATGCGCAATCTGCGATCTGTCCTTCTGTTCGGACGATGAACTCAACGCTCATTACAAGTGGTCTCCCATACACCCATTGTGTGGGAAGTGCGGGGATTACATTCAAGATAAGACTGAACTTTCCCGGGTGAGTTGCAACATGAGCATCCCTAGTCAGGTCGACTCAATGATCTCGTTGGTCGTCGCTAGCATATGCAAGTTACGCATGCGTGTGATGTATGTGTCTGCGGCGCGACTGTAAAAATCGACGACTTGTTCGTGCATTACAAGAGTTCTTCTTGTCACCCTAAGTGCTCCAGATGTGGCATCGCGTTCAGAGATGGTACTGCGTTGCTCGAGGTAAGTCGAACACATGCACTATATATGCTGCTCTAAACTTCAACTCGGCAGCACGAGAAAACTCGCCACGTTCCTCAACATTGCGCGCTCTGTGATCTCTGGTTCGCGACGATGTCAGATCTTCAACGGCATCTCCACACATGCTTCTTACATCCGAACTGCCTTGAATGCCGGATGGGCTTTGTTGGGATCGTGGAATATCTTGAGGTTTGTGGTGACCTGAAATCATAGCATGGCGAGACACGAGCTCATTCATACTGAACTAGCATCTGGAAGCAGTGCACGAGCGTGCAGAAATGGGTGAAAAGGCAGAGAGTAAAAAGGCAGGTCATGGACTGAACTTCCGACGATGAAAAAAGACAGACTAACGAGACCCCTTTAGAAGCAGAAGAAGAAGAAGAAGAAACACTGTGACTACTGTAATATAACCTTCGCTGGGAAATCGGGCTTGAAAAAACACAACTATGAAACCCCTAAGCACCCGCGCTGCATCCCCTGCGAGAAGCGCTTCCTCAGATACGACGACTACAAGAACGTTAGCCCTGCTTTTGCAGTATCGCAATGCGTTCTCTGACACTGGCGTTCGATACATAGCATATGGCGAGCAAACATCCTTCCGCTGCGTTACTACCAAGACTTCTCCCTCGTCCGTCGATGGTGAGGAACAGTTGTATCTGGCTGGTTGCATATCGTCGGTACTGATCAATCATGTGATTGTGATGGGGCTAGGGGTTGTCTATGCCATCTTCCAGCGCGAAAGCATACGAGTCTCCGAAAGGGGGCGGCTATCCTGATACGGAGCTACTAGTACCCGGTCGAGGAACAGTGCATGTCGACGCGCCTACAACAGTCCCTTGTGCGACTACACCGGAACTCGAGGCTCGCGAGGAAGGAATTCTGCATACTGAACGTGAGCATTCTTCTCAGCTTCAACACTTTTTTGTCGCCGATCAGTGGCGTTTTCTCAGCGTCCGCAGAACGTCAAGATCTCCTTACTAGCGAGGCCAAGGACGTCCAGTCCATTGCTGTGGCCCGTGATCTCCCAGAAATGGTCGGTGCGCCACCGTCGTCTCACAATGCCAATTTGGGCTGTAACACGTCGAACAAGACAATGTCAACATCAAGTGTTTTGACGGATAGTCATCGTCCTGATGTCAGTAGAGGTTTACAACCATCTGAAATCCGTCTGCTAATCTCCTTATAGGTCGAAGATGACACGGAGTCACTCATGTCACCTAACACCCTCTCGTCCACCAGTACGGAGGCGGATTTCATTGGCCAATTTCATGCTCGACCACACCTTACGAAGTCTACGATGCAGCGTGAGGCGTCTGAGGAACGTGAAGAGGAGGCTGCCGCCGACGCCTACATTCATGTCGAGTGAGCTTTCATGATGCGGATTGCTGTCAATCTAGAAATAACCTTCCGTCTCGTAGCGCTGACGAGCAATCGACTGATGTCTACGCGCGGGCGATTTACGAGCGCCCCGACAGCGTCATCAGCTATGTCACCGAAACTGACATAGATGTAGAAGATCTGTCTGTCAGCTCTTCAATGCGACCACCAGACTCCGTTGTCACTCACGCCTCTTCTGTGTCGAATGCAAGCGAAGATCTTGATTCGACTTTCAGCGCAGCACGGATCGCGGCCGAAAAGCTTGACCCTCCCGAGAATACGGGTGTGCCGTCTGTCAGCACAGGGCGCACTCGCGGCTCGATCTCGTCAGAGTCGAGAGTGTCCGAAGAAGGTCAGAACAATTGTCTCCATTGACCGCCTGACGCTACATACTGATCTACTCCTGTATAACTGTCTCAGTCTCGAGCGTCACGGCGTCCATAGCCACCACAGGGCAGTCAGTCCCTACCCCTTCCAATCCTGCCATGAGTGTTCCTCTCCGAGGCAGCCACGTAGGCCCGTCCTGGCGCTGTCGAAGCTGCGGAAAGGATCCATGCGAGGACCCTACGGCCACCCAATGCGGGCACATCTTCTGCCATAGGTACGTCGCGGCTCCAATACAACTGTGATTGATGCGCTCATTCGCTTGTATGCGTAGCTGCATCGTGAAGGAGATCGCAGAGAACCTGCAATGCCCCGTCTGCCACAAGCTCTTCCTTTTGAGGCTTCATGCGGGATGAGTTTCTTGCTGGAAGGCCGCATACATCGTACGCTTGGTCTTGTCGATCTCTGTCTGTCTTGTATCAGGATACTCTGCAAGAGTATCCTGGTATTTGTCAGTGTACGAATGTCCTGCTCAATATCACGCTACATCGGACCTTGTAAATCTGAAGTGCTTGTGCTTGCTGTTACTTGTATTTTGCTCCCGTAAAGCGATCTGTTGTGTTGTCCGTTCCCTTCGATCTGTCGCCCTCACAGTGGGCAATTATGGTGACCTGAAGTTCAGATCGAGACTTGATGGATTCACTGATACCAGTCCATTCACAGTGTTCGAGCCAGACGCCCATAATCTCAAGTTCCGGTTCAACGCGAATCGTAGCAACTGCCCCAAAATTGTCACTATCCTCGAGGACGCCACGTACAACGTGTGCGTTTTTCCGCCATCCCGTGGAGACAACCCGCTCGTTCACATCGACGATCATTGCTCTGCTTACTATGCCTGGTCCAGGACGAGTCGGCTGTTCTGACTGTACTAAAAGCTTTGCAAGCGTGTCTGCTCTGCGAAGTCATTGCTTGTCGAAAGGCCATCGTGACCATCAGCTGCAGTATCCTTGTAGTTTCTGCGGCAACAGCTATGCAACTCGTGAAGCCTTGGAAAAACATTCGTCGAAAGCCATTGGGCATGCCAGTGGCCAGTTCGCCTCGAAACTAAACCCAAAGTGGGCTCGCAGGACCATCGTATCCGTTCCTGCTCCAGGAATTGCCATCGTGATGGCACCCTCGAGCGGAATTGAGACCGTCATGCCAGACGCTGCAGATATGACACCTCGCAAGTGTGTAGTGTGCGACTTGACCTTCTTGTCGGACGACAAAATCAATGCGCACTACAAGGCATCCCCCGTACACCCGTCATGTGGAAGGTGCGGGAAGTACTTGCAGGATAGAGCAGAACTCTCCCGAGTGCGTAAGATTCGATGATCTTTCCCAATACAGGCGGCTGACGTCCTCCTCAGCATCTCCAAGCTGTCCACAACGCTGGAATCTGCGTATGTGGACTAGTCATCAACCTTGACGACTTGTCAACGCACTACAAGTCATCGGCGAGCCACCCGAGGTGCTCTTACTGTGGTCAGGCATTCAAGAACGGTGCCGTGCTACTCGAGGTGAGCTTCAAGGTGTTACATGCCGTTGCTCTGATCTAAACTGAAGTACTGACACCTCGGTCGTTCGATAGCACAAAAGATCCGTCTACGCTAACCGATTTTGCCCTCAATGTGACCACGTGTTCTCGACAAGTACCATTCTACAGCAACATTACTTCGAAAACCCTACACATGCTCGCTGCCTTGTATGCAAGAAAGGCTTCGCCGGGAGCGAGGAGTATCTCGAGGTCTGTGATCATCTGAATTGCCATAGCCACTGACTAATCCCCGCAAATTCAGCATTTGACTGCGGTACATGACCAGCCGACGACAACGGATGAAGACGCCACGAAGGCAAGCCCACCAACTGAAGCGGGACTTGTGTATGTGTACTGATGAGACAAATATGATGATTGCAGAGTGCGGCCGCCTCGCAGCCTGTCGTGAGTATCGACCGCGAAAAGGAGCCGAAGGTTCCGCGCTGTCATTTTTGCGACATCACCTTCACGACGAGGTCAGAACTCAGGAGCCACAACCTCGAAACACCGTCGCATCCGCGTTGCACCGTTTGCGAAATGGGTTTGTCTCAGCGCGGGCTTACAAGATGGTCCGTTGAATTCACCACATCATGAAATAATTTCTGACATGTTCATTCACTGAATTAGCATATGAAACGCAGACATTCACCTATTGGGTTTTCGCCCCAGCTCTCTCCGTATCTTCCACCGATTACTGTAAGTCTTCATCATCAGTACTAATCAAGGGGTTTATCATGACGAAGAAATATGTAGAATGCGTCGTCGGTATCGCCCAGAATGGCAAAGACTGGTTCGCTGGACAAATCCCCAGAATCCCCGGGATGCAGTGGCCATAGAGATGATATGACACTGGCAGAGACCACGGACGTCGACCCATCCGGGACTGACATCAACACGGCAGGAATTCCGAAGCCTGAAGGCGTTGACAACAATGACATCGTCGCTACATGTGATTATCCCTATCATCTGTACTCCTCACGAATCTTCATTAATAACGTGCGCCATTTCCTTAGCACCGACCGACGATCAAGCTGTCATTCAGGCTCCTTGGCTCGGAAACGTCAAGCCAGAGGTTACCGAGTGAGCTTTACCCTGAATGGCTTACCAATATGCAGTGAACTGACGAACCGTTGTCGCAGCACTATGGAGCAATTGTCTTGTATGGATGAACGACCCGAGAGTGTGAATAGTTACATCACAGCACCTGACTCATTCCCGCCGGTTGCACGTCCTCAGGCTGTCAATCCTTCGTCCCCTCCACCGGATACCGTTGGCGTGCGACTGTCTTCAACTGCTTCCAGCGAGGATTCCACTGCAGCACCGAATACAGCAAGCACCGCTGAACAAGACGAACAAGATCTTCTCGACGACACTGGGCACATGTCGCCTGAATGCTATCCGGGCGCACAGGCCTCGAACACTTGCACGCTCACTCGATCCGCCCCAAGCACCGTCATCGCTGCGGTCACTGGTCCTCAACGTGCTACTTCGCCGACATTCGTTCTCTCTAGTAGATCGGACGAATCCTCGGCCAGCGCAAAATGTAACTCGGCCTCGACTCTAGCGAGAACGTCAGAGGAAGGTATAGATTATGTCTCTATCATGACTCCTATTTGTGCAGTACCGACCGTCACGACACCCACAGCTACTGCCACTGGCAAGACAGTCCCTACTCCTTCCGTAGCAATCACGAGCACTGTGACTCAAAGGAGGCCTCGAATTTCAGGTCTGTGGTGGCGATGTCGCAGCTGCGGCAAGGATCCATGTGAAGGACCAACGGCGACGCAATGTGGGCATATCTTTTGCCATAGGTGCATGAAGAACTTCAGGATGGCCCTCACCACACTGATGCACTTATGATGTAGCTGCATCATGAAGGAGATCGTGGAGAAGATGCAATGTCCCGTCTGCAGCCATGTCTTCCTGCTGAAATTGCACGCGAGGAGATGAGGAACAGCCGCCTGACGTCAAGCTGTATGAGTCGGGATCGAAGGTCGGCGACTTTGACTCATCTCGCGATAGGGATACTGATATGTGACGCAGCGGGCCAATATGCCGGTGTTGTAGGTCTGTGAGTGGGACGTACGAGTAGCTTGCACGGGAAAGAGTGCTTGTTATGACGGGGGTCATGATAAATTACTCATAGGTTACACTACTTGCCAGGGCTGCGTCCGCCAGCGTGATGATATGAGAGGTAGTGGGCAATGGACACGGCGGGAGCGAGCGACGGCGTACGAGGTAACTTAGGTTCTGGGGACCGGACACTGGTGCCAGTTCGAATTCATACAGAATACGAACTTTGTGGCGCCACTGGCAGCACTCTATATGTGCATGTACTATCCGATGTACACACCACTTTCCGAAGATGCCGCAAGTCCGAGCCCTTGTACTTGTGTAAGTATGTGTTTCAGGCGAGGCAGCGCGCCGGACGCGTCGAGCATAAGGCGCGTGAGCTTGACCAACGGATTTCACGACGTGCGTGACGCCGCGGAGGAGCCACATCATCTCGATCCTCCGCCACTCGCCGCTCAGATTCGCTGCACTGGCATGCAACTGGCATGTTCCATGATTGGCGATCTGTGGCTGTTTTCGTCTCTGAGTCACTGTAATAAGTACTCCTTTGTACCACGAACTGCCAAGTCACAGTCGATCTGCCGTGGTATGCATTGATGTGAATTCTTACAAGCCATTCGAGTCGGACTGAGTCTTGTGAGGTACTACTCTGTTCAAGTTGGCAAGTCCGAGCGAGACGCCAATGCTAGTATACGCGTCCGAACTCTACTTCAGCGTCACTGTACTGCGCATGCCAGATTGAGTGAGAAGTCCGAGCGACCACCGACGGTTCTTGAGCTTGAGGATGCCACGCACCTCTTTCGCGAAGCCATATCGATTCAACCTCCCACCGTCTCTTCTCCAGCCGCATGATATCGCTACTAGCGATTTTCAGCGGGTCAGTCATGCCCAAACTCAAGCCACACGTTTGTCCTGTTTGTACTCAGGCTTTCAGATCTCTGGATGGGCTACTACAACATGGGAACTCGATGAGACATGGTCTGATTGGTATTTACCATGCTTGCCCTGATTGCCAAAAGAACTTTCGGACGGCTGCAGCTCTGCAGAACCATTCGTCGGTCAAGAGACACGGCCCTTACGGGCCTGTGTTGCCCACAGTCGCCGCTTCTAGTACCCTTAGCGCGACGTCGGTCCCCGCGCAGGCCACGCCAGTAACAACATCTACAACTCTGCCGCCTTCCCCAGCTGCACAGTATAGATGCCAAGTCTGTACTCTATCTTTCAACTCAGGGGCTGAGGTCAACGCCCACTATAAGGCCTCCTTCGTACATCCGTCCTGTAGCAAATGCGGCGAAGGTTTCAGGGACAACCAACGCCTTTCTCAGGTGGGTCATATCACGGTGATTGGAGGTCAATCGGGTTATCGACGTCGCTACATAGCATCTACAGGCCACCCATGTTACCGACACTATTGCTAATCGGTCTGTAGCAACCGCCAAACCAGATGACCCTTCGACATCGTCGAGCCGTCGCATATGTTCAATGTGCTGGCTCACTTTCAAGGATGCCGCCAAGCTGTTTGAGGTACTAAGCGTTGCACGTACTATGGTTCCGCTGATGATCTGAACGCATGCTCTGCAGCACGAGAACACTGACCATCTCTGTGCCCGCTGCGATCAGTGGTTCTCAGGGCGGAGAGCTCTGCGGCAACACTTCAACGAGTCCTCGATGCATCCGAGCTGCTTCCATTGCCAGAACGGTTTCGCGGGGGATGTGGAGTTCTTCACGGTGTGTGGCGATCGTAACGACGACTGTCTCGACATAGGCGACTGATCCACGTCGATCTAGCATCTCGCCGAGGAACACGACATTCCGATAGCAGCTGAATTGGTCTCCACGGCGGGGTCATCGACTGAAGCTAATGGGGCTCCTAGCAGCCCGCCTCCTCCAGTTTATGAACAGCTGGAAAATGTCGAAGTACCTCAGATCGAGGTATGATATGTTATAACAATCTGGAGAGCTAGCGCACTGATCGTAATGTCTGTAGACCGCGATTTCCGAGGAACGTGAAGAGGACACTGTCTCTGACAGTGACTACGAACACATTGGGTGAGTCTTGAAGCGGTATGTCGCCTATGCATGAACTGACCAACAGTCCTAATAGCCCTGACGAACGATCGCCCGATGCCAACGTGTGGGAGATCCGGGAGAGACCAAGCAGCGTGCTCAGCTACGTCACAGCGATGGGATCAATCCCGGACGTCCAGTCTGACAGTGCCTCTGTTCAACCAAACGATGCTCCCGCGGCTCAAGCAGCCTCGACTCCCAGTATTGACTCGATCCCGGACTCTGAGGCAATGAGGGCCATTGAAACAGAGCGTGAATGGCTCCATAGCGCCAGAGACGCATCGTCCGAGGTACGTGTGCTATGCTGAGTCAACCAATCATACAGTTCACTAACAATTCCAAACGGATTCAAGCTCAGCCTCGACGACGACGACGACGACGACGATGCTGCTGCCGTGTTCCGTGCTCGACGTGCAGACTACATTGCCACTCTTGAGCAGACATGCGAGTCAACCGCGAAGGTTCCTCCCTCAGCACTCACCGTCCCTCCCTCTTATCCAGTCTTCGACCTTGAGAATGTTGTGCTTGGGCTGCAGTCCAAATGCGAGGAGGCAACGTCCCTGAATGAGGCCCTCCAGCGAGAGGCAGAGCAGAGGAACCAGGTCGCTGCACGGCCTGAGGCTGAGCTGCATGTGAACGCGCCGCGTTCGGATGCCTGCACCCTTGGTCCGTCCACTCGACCTTCAAGTCCTGCTGCCACCGTGGACGTCGAGTCTCTCCGTGCTGGCTCGTTGTCGCCGATTGTGTCGGTTACATCAGAGGCGCCATCTGTGAGCACAGGGGGAACTCAGAGCTCGACTCCGGGGCATCCGAGAAGGTCGGAAGAAGGTAAGAGGATTGTCGTTGCGACACTGCTGAGAGCTCCATGCTGATCCTCTTTCGCGTTACTCAATCTCATTACTCAACATGACGGTGTCCTTTGCCGCTACCACAGTGCTACCAGACCCCGCGCGTTCCGAGACCGCCGCCAGCGCCCCACCCGAAGCCAGGTCCAGTGCAGACCTATCCTGGCACTGTCGAAGTTGCGGTAAGGATCCGTGCGAGGATCCGACAGCGACACAGTGCGGACATATCTTCTGCTACAAGTTCGTCGCACCCGTGATCTTTCATCAATTCTCGCTGATACTTACGAATGCGCAGGTGTATCGTGAAGGAGATCACCGAGAATATGCAGTGTCCGGTTTGCAACAAGCTATTCCTCTTGCGACTCCAGGCGTTTTGATCGGACGGATGTAGCGTGCATAACCTGTATCTTGTGTATGTTCTTACTTGTACGTGTAGTATGTTCCAAGCTGCTTTCACGTTGACCTTTGTGTACGGATTCCCTGTTAGGATCCCGCTAGAAAGGACACAACTATGAGTGATATTGCTCCTGAGTCCTCGGTGACCCGCACGACTACCTTGTACGATGGCTTGTCCGTCACAGCGGCTCGTTCCTGACAGTCGCTGATATGACATGTATGGACTTCCTCGCGCGCCGCAGACTCTAGTAAAGAGCGGCGACTCGCGAGCCCGCGGCCGCATTAGTAACTGTCTCGGCCGTTGCCGGTGCACTGGTCTACATCCCGATATGGTATATATTGTTGCCGAACTCCGAGTCATGCGCTACTTGCATACGTACTACGAAGTACAAGCACTGACCTAGTCGCCTCATCTCGTGGAAAGGCCGGCAGTGAGTACTTGAGTCGCGATATGGACACGGAGAAATACTACTTGCAACGCAAGCATTTGATCAACGAAGACAGGGCTCTCCGGGTCGATGCTGCCAGACTTGATATCCTCAAGCTCACGGCCACTGAAGCAAAAGCAGAAGCTGTCGTGCGCGCGATACGAACTGCGGAAGCCGCTTCAATATGGGATGGGGACGGGTCTATTCTGAATTACGATCCCTTGGACAGCACGCCGAACGTCTTTCCTGGCATGGCGTTTCTGACGGGTGAGCGCATTGAATGTCATGCAGTTGTAATCAATCTCAGCAGTCACACTCGCCTCTATTTCAAGCTCGTGAGACCGTAACGAAGACACAGCTGTTCAGAATTCTGAAAAAGGTGAGAAAGTAGAGTCCCAGAGACTCACAGCCAGCCGGATTGACACATCATGGCGCCTTCATGCAGATGCCCAAAGGTGCTCTGCTTCATGCGCACTTGGATGCGATGGTGAACATCGATGTGCTCATCAGGCTGGCTCTCGCCCAACCTGCCATGCACGTCCGAGTACCTACTCGCCTGACGGCAAGTAACATCAAGGCCACGTTGCCCCAATTCAAGGCTCTCCCGCCAGCTTCATCATCAACGCTGTCCTCCTTGACGAGCCCGACTTACGGAGGGGGTGAATGGGTACCGCTGCATCTCGCTAGGGAGACATTTGATGAGAGTCTTGGCGGTCCTGGTGGATTTGACAGTTGGGTAAAGAGGGCATTGACGATCAACCCGTCCGAGGCGTATGGCACCCATAATACGCCCACGAAGGTAATGGTAGTTGCCCAGTGTAGCCTGGGTTCTAATTCATCAATTCCGCACAGATCTGGGCAAAATTTACCAGCACGTTTCTTATCAGCCATGTAAGTGTTGCCAACGTTCTCGGAATCTATCGGGTTAACGCGTAGGTTGATGTGCAGCACCTCGTATACTATATTCCTATATGGGAGCAATACATCAGAGAGTTCATCCTCTCGTCAGTTGAGGACGGGATCTCGTATGTAGAGGCTCGTATAAACTTTCTTGCCAAGTGAGCAACATACCGTCGGATAGGATTGACGCATTCCCCGTTCACATTGTGATTGCTTCAGATACATGACGGGTCGGGATGGACTAGAAAACGTGCCGCATAGGGAGTGGCTCCTTAGTATTGACCGGGTGATCAACGAGGTCAAGGCCGAACTGGCAAAGCAAGGTCGGCAGGATGAATTCGTTGGCCTAAAGGTAATTCACATAGTGTATGGTCCTACCTCGGTGCCTCACGCCCAGTATTAGATCATCTATACGACAATCCGGTTCATCTCCCCGGAAGAGTTGGAATGGTACACAGAAGACGCACTGGCGCTGAAACAAGAGTTCCCACACTTGATCGCAGGTACGTGCTGTTGGAATCGCTTGATCGAACTCACCACTCACACGGGACTCACTATTGCAGGTTTCGATCTTGTCGGACACGAGGACACGCTAAAGCCCCTCATTGACTACATCGAACCTCTGACGAAGCTCATGCGCCGTCGGGAAGAGCT